AAAATAGTGATGGTCATGAGGGCGGGGGGGGGGGGGGGGGGCGGGCAGAGTCTTATGGCCAGGACTGTACATAGAATGTTCTTATTAAGAACATTTTTTCGTTGGCTGTTCGCATTAGAAACAGTGTTTCTAATAAGGACAGGCGAGTTATTTTTTAAGCTTTAATATCTTTGTCAATATAAGTCGAAAAATTCTCAACCTTGAGATTAACATGTCTTGATTGATAAGAAACAACTTTTGTCATGGGACTACAAAAATATTTTCAAGTTTAGAGAGCAAAAACGTTCATTTATTAAAACTTTCTCGTTCTCCCTATATTTTAAATAGCCTGTTCTTATTAGGAGCAGAGGTTCTAATAGGAACAAATTCAATTATTCGCAGACTACCGCTAATTGCTTAGGTAGTTTTGAAGATAATTAAATTTTTCTTTATATCATTTGATTCAGAAAATATTTCTCTACTCAAAAATATAAAAAATCTATATATTCCTGTATAAACGTTTTAGAAAAAAAGAAAAACTCTCACGGCATTTGAAAAGATGTTCTTATTCGAAACATGCGCTTTATATGTATACTTTTTTTTTCGTTCTGTAACCAATCATATGAAAGTTCCTGAAGAAGAAGAAAAAGAACACTTGTGAAATATAATGTAGATAGTAGGAAATTTGAAGCACTGTCTAGGGATGCAACGGTGACGATAACCGGTCTAATCGGTAACCGGTCTAACGGTAACCGTTCGACCGGTAACCGGTGTGAACCGGTTACCGGTGAAACGGTTACCGATTGCTACGATCAAGCGGTGACTAATCGTCACCGTTGCATCCCTAGCACTGTCAGAATCTGTAATTGCTTTTTTTTTTAAATCTTTTTGCATAGGAATAATAAGTTCAACAAGAAAAGTCCAAAAGCAACGAAAAATGCAGATTTTTGGTACTTGTTGATTCACGGTGTGTTCACTATACTCAAATTTTTTTTTCAATAAATGAATATAAGAAAGTAGGTAAATATTCAGGGTAATAGAGAATTCCAAGCTCTATCAGAATATATAATTACTTTTTTTAAAAGTTGATTCTATATTGATGAAAAATTTCAGAAATTTATTTTGACGACAGTGAAAAAATTGATTTTTTGGAAGTCGGGGCATGAGAATGCCTTCACTGCACTCAATTTATTTTATTAATGCGTAAATGTAAATTAAAATCTAATTATATAGGGTGACAGAAAACTCCACGGGCTTTCAGAATATGAAATTGGTTTTAAAAGAGTTTGTTATTATAGTGCAACTATATTCAAAATACGGACTCTAACTATTTTTTTTCCGAGGGTATATATATTTTTCTGTACTGTTCTTAAAAGTCTCACCTTTTCTCTTTCTTTTTGTCTTTGTTTTTACTTGTTAACCAACATATTATATGGCACAATAAATATTAATGCTAAAAAAAAGAAAATGGCGATCTAATAAAAAAATATACTACTTGAGACTGAAAGAAAGAGAAGAAAACTGAAGGAGAATAGAAATGCAAGGAAGAAATATGTTCCTCGAGACTGAAAGGAGGAGAAAAAAAAGAAGAGGATAATATTGATACAAGGGAGAAATAACTGGCTCCAGACTGAAAGAAGGAGAAAAAAAAGCTTGTTAGCGCAGCCCCTTTGGGGCTGAAATGTGGAACATCCCATATACACTCTAGTCTCATTAAACTAATACAAAATACGTAATGTGATAAATCTCTCGTAGACTATAGATGTTTTGCAGGATAATCGGTGTTTAGAATAATGATCTCTCTAATTTCTGCATTTCGAACAGAATTTTGTTCTTTTTCTCTACGAGCGCCCTATTTTTTTGTTTGCATTGTTGCTATTTTCTCATTATTTTTCATCTGTTTTAATTCGCTTTTCTTAATTAAGTCGGCTGACTGCACGAAGTGCAGGCAGAGCCGACTTATTGCTTTTCATTCGTTTAGTTGCCATGGCAAATTCTTCTTCTTCTTCTTCTTTTTCTTCTTCTTCTCAACACATGAGTCACGATTCAAGTCAGCCACTCGTTCTCAGCTCCTGATTATTATTTTCAGTCGAAAAAAAGTTTGGCGAGATCCTGAGAATGTGACGAGTGCACATCTGAAATCCGTTTTTTGAAATTCGACAGCGTTCAGGAGATATAAATAATGCCAAAAATATAATTAACAGCTGTTATTTTCCTTATATGGTTATGCATGACTCAGTCTTAAAAGACCATTCATATCTTAGATCTTATGTGCATATATACTTTATTTATCGTTTTGCATAGCTGAAATTCATCCACGAAGAAGTCTCAAGCATTTAAAAAAATCTCTTCATGGTTTATACAGATGAGACAATGAACGATAATGAACAGCTGAGAGCTTCCTTATATGGAAATCTACGATTCAGATTCATTATGATTTCCTCTACACAAGTCTGGGGTATAGAAATAGTAGATGTCGTATAGGACCAGGTTTTGATATTTTTCGGGCTCTGCAGTCAGCCGACTTTTCTAGCCGGCCTTGGGCCGGGTAGAGGTCTAGTCTTTATTCGTTTGAACAAAATCAAGTTGAATAAGATGTCTTCTATATGGTTTAGTTTTTTTGTCGTTTTCGATTAATTACAGTTAAGTTTTCTATTAATGAATATGATTTCTGAATAAAAAGAAAAAATTCATGTTCAAATAGACGTTCATCAAATAATGATACTACACAAACACATTTAAATAATCTACCGAAAAAATTATTTTTTATATTATGATAATAATTCAATTTAATATGGTTGACAATAAATATGACATTGTCTATAGTTTATATCTTCGAAAATATCAATACAATACATTATTTTATTATCCCTAAAGTGTTTCAATGTATTTTGAATGTCTTCATTTGATGGGAAATTAACTTTTTTAGTAACACGATTATTGAGAATGAATATTAAATGTAAATCTATATAATTAATTTTCATATAATTAATTAAATTTATATTCAAATCATAATCATCAACAGATGTTTTTCTTCCACAAACAATAAGAGACAAATCAAGTTTTTCTAAATTTCTCATTTGATGTAATAAGGGCACAATTAAGTCATCATAATAACTTGTATTCATATCACACTGTAGTGAAAAACTTTTTAGATTTGGTAAATTTTCTTACAAAATACAATAAACATAATTTTATTTGAATAAATAAAATTTTAGTGAAAATAATCTATCTTATTATTTATTATAATTGTCGAACTGCTAATGAAATCAATATGAACATCAAGGAATATGAAGTTGATTAAAATGCCCCTTAAAATAAATAAAGACAATCCGAAAAATGTTGTAAGCAGATATACAATTCTAACAGAGTTGAACAGATAAATGTTAACGGTAGAATAGAAAATGATAATTAATCCACATTGAAGATAGACAAAATTTTAATGATCGTAAATTAGTAAATATACTTAATATATGAGTAAATAAAATAGCATTGACATCTCTATCGTTGATGTTTGTTCATCACTTGTATCTATATCAACAGTAAGTGATACAATTTGTTTTTTCAAGGTACGAGTAAAGTAAGTTTCATCTAAACAATAACAAAACTTTTTAAAAATCATTGAAAACAGTATTTTCTTATTTTATGTTTGTTGTTTTGATGAAACTATTGATTATTTTTATCTATTTTAACAGTAGTATTGTTTAGATTATTATGATCTTCTATGATTAGAACTATATTCAGTAGATTCTATTTTATCGTCAATATTCGATGTTTTGTGACAAATATAAAATATTATCATTAAATTATTTTAATATAAATTTTCTTTTTCTAAAATTTCAATTTAAAACTTTGAGTTGAAAAAATGTCGAGCTCTTTTCTTTTCTGCAAACATTTCTTCTATTAGAAATTTTTTCTACGACAAGAACTTGATACTTATTCATCATAGCAATTAATAACAATAAAATACAAAATTAATTCAACATTATTAAAATATATTATTATCTTACTAGTCAAATTTTTACTTATTCAAATTAATTCATTTGACTTTCAGCTTTTATCTATTATTACTAATCATTGAAATAATCGAACTTATATATCTTACCAGAAAAAAAAATGCACATGAGTCATATCCGCTTTAATATTGTATAAAGCAAGTCCTGATAAATTAGGATAATTTTTAGCCAGAATAATACGTTCCATAGATGATGATTCAAGATCAAGTCATTCGATTTTATCATGAATTTCAGGTAAAATTTGTGTGCAAAATCGATCAAGTAATGGATAAATAACATGACTTGATAAAGATTTAAAGACAATTAAATGAGTTGGTGTACGTCTTAATAAAGTCAAACGATTGATAAATATAGTATCATGCAAGATTTTATTTAATCGTTTATTAACACCTAATAATAAGTAAAGTAGAGTGGTATTATCAAATATTTTAAAAATAATCAGAAGAATTTCATCAGGTAAATTGTTCAACTGAATAGATGAATATTCCATGTTCATTTATACTTAATTATCTTATGTTTATCATAGAAATATTGATATTTATATACATATATACTCATATGTTCTACTTGATCGATATCGTTAATCAAAACAATGAGGCATTTTTCTAAAGTCTAGCCCAATAACAATTGGGGTGGATGTGGGTCAGAGATCATCGGATCCAAAAATTTTTGGACCACGACTTGGACCTGGACGCAACTAATTAAAATCTTTTGAACCAGTACCCAATCCGGACCCGGTCGGTGAAATTTTTCTGGACCTGGACTCGAACTCGGACTCGCTAGAGATTTTTTGAACTCAAAGCTCAGGGGTCAATTTTGTATGGGTTCGAACTTGAACTGAACTCGTAAAATTGTTTAATTTGCTAAAATAAATCTGATTGTTGCTCCAGAATATGTTATACATTTGATTTGTTTTTTCTTGTTTCATGGATATCATTGTCTACATTTTGTTTAAAGAGTCCTATACCGTCGCCGTAGGAATAACATTACAATTGGTTCTCATCTCACGCTAATAACTCCTCATGAAAGAAACAATGCGTATAAGACAAATGATGATCATGATTATTGTTTGAATATTATTGAAAGTATAGACAATAGTGAATAACCAGATAATTTTTTGGTCTGATTTATGATTGCAACTATGTTTACATATCATATTCAGGAAGAACTTTATTGTTTTTTTCTATTGTTTTAAAACAAATTTTATATTTTTGGAGTAAGATGAACAAGAATTGAAAGAAATAAAAAAAATTTCTAATATATGAATCTAAGTTTTTTTCAGTGCGAAACTGACCAATAAAAATTTTCAGATCCGGACCCAGCCCAAACCCAACTGGGTCCGGGTCCGGATAGGACCTGAGGAACTCTAGTGTGGGTGTGAGTGTGGGTGTAGGTATAGATATTCCCATCACACATTCGCCCACCAAAACCCACACACCCACACCCTTTAGTCAAGTATTTTGAAAGTGCTCAAATAGTAAGTAAATAAAACTATTAACTTCGATTCAATTTCGACCAAGTAGAAAGCTTTTTCTGAATTAGAATCGCTGCTTTTATATGATTTACAGTTATTTATGGCGAGTTAAAATGAGTTATGATCATCTAAGATGAATTAATGTGAGTTATAGTGATTTATTTGATTGAAAATGAATTATGCTCATTTAACTGAGTTAATTTTGATTTTAAGCTGATTTAAATCAGTTGTTTCCCCCTTGCTCACACGTACACCCACATTCACACCCTCGAAGTAACAGGGCTTTCTGTCGATAATCATAAATATTTGGATATGGATGCCGACATTGATTAACATTGTCTATTCAAATGCACCTGCACCCTTACGTTTTTGTACAGTCACCAGTCTTTTATGACTGTATGCAGGGAACAATTTCCTACAAAAATTATTCTCTTTAGAAAGAAAAACGACAGAAATTGTAAAGAAATCGTAAAAACAGAAAGCCCTGAAAAGTCGTCCGTCGGAATTTTTCTGAAAAAACCGACGAACCATTGAAAGACTAGCAGTATACTAGTCATACTAGAAAAGAATTATCTTTTCTGATTCGAAACTTTTCACTTTGATAGCTAAACTCAGTTATAATAGGGCAAATATGTACTAGTGAACAAGAACAGTTCGTTACTGGAACCAAACGTCTATAAGCAATTAGGGGGGGGGGGGTACACAGTAAACGAATTCAATTAACATTCAAAGTTTTCCATGAAAAATCATACTGATATGGTCTTGTGCGTTCGAAAAAGATCGATATATCCTCTAACTCGCCTCTTTTCTTTCAAATAAATTTGGTGTTGTTTTTGTTTAGAAGGATACGCACAATTCTTTAAATCTTTGCTATGTACTTAGTTGTGAACTCTATTTATTCGACAAAAAAAAACATGTATAAGGTATTTATTTATTCTTTGATGCACTACTGAATACTTTGTTCATGAGTCGCATTTATTTCCAATTTGATACTTTTGGTTTTATAAAATACGAATGTTGTATCTATCATCAATATCACTATAGCTGTAACCAGATAGTAGGTAATCAATTTTCCGGTTAAAATCTTCCAGCCGAGAGATTGCTCGGCAAATGCAGCTGAAAAGAATGATATTGTTATACTAAGCATTGTAATTGCTTCATATATTGAATGTACTTTTGCTTTTTCTTCCGGTTTGTGAGATTTCATTAGTAATGCTGATGAGGCTACATACCCAAAGTTCCATCCAATACCAACAAAAATTAGACCTACATTGAAAGAACTAATTGCCAAACTACGTTGAAATAGTAGTGCTCCTATCAATTGAGTAAAAAGACCAGCAACCATAAGCAGTCGATTACCACACCAGTTGCACAAAGTTCCAGAAAAAAACGATGGAACAAACATGCCTAATAGATGGCATTCGATAGCTGTTATTACTTGACGAAAACTGTAACCAGCACCAGTCATTGCTAGAGGTGTAGCCGACATTTGAATAGACATTGATGACCATGATACGAAGCCAACAAAAGTGGCAATCAGAAATGTTCGTTGGCCAGCTATTAAGAATATTGAACGACCGCCTGGACCAGAATTACTGTTCATTGTTGTTGATGATGAACTCGGCATATGTGCAGCACATTCCTTGTTCATATGGGGAAACTGGATTATTGTTATAAGGAGCAGAAGCAGTAAGAATTCGCATAATGTTGCTATATAAGCCCCGCTGTATGGCTTTGGCAGCATGTTTACTGTATGTGTAGCAATTTCTGGCCTAGAGCAAAACCAAAGTAGCATAGATAGAAAAGCTTCTGACGAAATCTATCGGATCAATACAATTGCAAACTATGAAGCCACTTTCAATCCAAGCATCTGCTTCTATCAGATCTACTATCTTTTGTGACGAAATAATACGAGTAAGGTTTCGACATATTTGCCGCTGCAACTAAAATCACTTCCGATAGTGCGCTTTAGTCGCTATACAGTTCAACACTCACCAATAATTCCGCTCGAGAGTGTCGATGTAGACACATGTCGAGTCCATCTGAACACAAAGACTCGTATCGATAATCAACCTGTGTACTATTAAAACTCACATACAGCCGTTGCAGATAACTTTTGCTACCAGATTTAATGCTTTTGTAAAGCATGATTTGTAACTACCCATGTAAACATAAAACGCGAGATTTGTTCGTTTAAACGCGTTTTTGTTGTGAAACGCGTCTAGACGCGTTTAATAGCTTCGAATAAGATATAAACGAAACTTGTTTAGAAAACTGTTAATACAAAAAATATTTACACGATATTGTTTTACTGACCAGGAAACATCTATCAACATTTTCTATAGAATCAATTGACTTTGAAAAATGTCAAGTCCCCAACAGTTTTCAAAATTTTCATCATGAAAGAGAATAAATGTAATTTTTAATAAAATACAAGAGACATCAATTCTGCAACATGGGTACTCTAAAATTGGAATCAATGAAATTTTGAAAAAAATATAAACAATATTCTTTTTAAATAATAGTTTTCATCATAAGTAATTTTTAAAATTATGACACTCAATTTATTTAATGTACAATTTTTTTGAATGAGTATAGATGTTGGGGAGTATGCAACAATAATTAAAATATTGTACATATGTTGGAAGAAAAATGAAAATTGAGGAAAATTTAAAATTTTCCTCAATTTCAATTTTTCCTCCAACATCTACACAGAATTTTATTTATTCATGCGCTTGTAAATAAGTTTCTAATAAATCATTTATATACAGAGTCTGTTTTGTTTGATAAATAATGTGATCACATGTGACTCAACGGTATGTACACTTGCTTTCTAATCGCTAGTTCGCTGGTTCTGATCTCATTTCTATCGTTTCAGAAACATCAAAATTTGAACTTTCCGTTGGTCTATAGAGTTAGGTAAAGACCATTGCTAGACAATATCGATGGCGACACAGATCAAACCTGAGACGATTTGTAATACATTTTAAAAATTTGAAATATAGAGTCGAACGCGTCCAGACGCGTTCAACTGTTGCGATTTATACGCAAACAAAACGCGATTCAGACGCGTTTTGGTTTAAAAAATATTCACATGGGTAGTGTTGCAGCATATAGCAATGACAATGATTCTTCTTTATCTACTCAACTAGTCGCACAGACCCTAGTGAATACTAAGTGACTTTAAACGGGTTCGTCACGATCGTTTGTAGTCCTATAAGCTTTTCAATGTGTTATTTATTCGTTATCAAAACTACTGTGACTAGTGACGAAACAATCAAAAGAGCTTGTGAGAGGTGAGCTCCCGCTAAAGTAATTTCGGAGATGAGAGTTTTCTCGACTTAAAATATCTAAAAACTTTTAATAGACATCTAACGATCTATCTAATCTGAAATATTCAGTTCTTTTGTGGTCTTCCGTAAAATTGAACAGCCTTTTGTTCTATTCATTTTTGGGCCTTTACGATATCGATTTTGATAGGAGTCGTAGTTGTTCGATTCAAATATTTTGGCAAACAAATAATTATGGTAAGCATAAGCCTACCCTAGTATCGAAGAGAAACAACCACCAGCTATGACCATTGCCATAGCTTTTGGAGCAAATTCTTGCGTCGAAAACTGCAATGCTACCAGACGATAGTACAATGTACACGGCAATTGTCCACCTAGAAATCCAGCACTCACAATCAACAACCAATAGAGCTTATGCCATGCTGCCACAATGCTAAGTCCAGCGCCGATGGCACCCATTAGAGCGCCAAAATAGAAAGGTCGTCGGTATCCAAACCGAGCTATAGCACGGGGCAAAAATATAGACAAAACAGTACCAATTAAAAGCATTAAGCCGATAGGTATCGTCGCAAGATTCGAATTGGTAAAACTTGTAGCCGCCACCGTGGTCGTGCTTATTTGAATATAATTTATAGCTTGACCAAGACTCCATGAACATGCCAATAGGAATACATTCCATAACATTTTTCGGAACAAAGGATCAGTCCATCGAGCTTGGAGACCATTTAGTGACCAAAACGATGGCAGTTGAATATCAGTTGGATTCTGTTGTTGTGCCATATGAACTGGTTCATCATGCCGTGGAATGTCAAGTTTTGCGAGAGCTGAATCAAAATGACGTATTATTCAGATTATTCGAATAATACAAAGAACAAAATTCTAACCATTTATGCAGAACTTTTAATAATCTTGACTATTCTTATCTATAAAGTCTACATATTTTGTTTTATGCTCAATTTAGTACGTGATATTGTATTCTGTATTTTTCATTCAAGGTTCGTTTGATTTCCAACGACCAAAATAAATCTTTGAAAACATGAAGAAATGCAGTATAAAAAAAATGAATTTCTCGCATTAATGAACATTTTCTGATAAAAACTGTGAGATCTTTCATAATTGTTAGCTTCGTGAAATCTAGATGTTCTTAGAAAAACTTTTCTTGCGGAAGATTTAATGTGCTCCTTCTATTATAGTTACAAACCATTGAATTATGTTGAAGTGTAACGGATAGGGTGTCGATTATTTTTCCCTTGAAAGATTTCTAAGGAATTATCACTCACATAGTTCACTGTATTTTTCACGTTATGACTAGAAAGTCTTTTAAAACGGAATAATGCATCAAATATATTTTATGATTACAAAAGCAAATAGTCATTTGAATGTAGTGAAATAGTTTCCAACATAGTTCAACTGATAACGTCGATCGATCGTAGTCAATTATCCGCGATTATTTCGTGCAAATAAAAAGTTTTCCTAACGATTGTACGGAACTTATCAATGTATAGCTTAAGTGCATTAGTTCAGTTCAAAGAAGCAATAAACAGATCGAGCCAAGGTAACTAAGAAACTTGTAGTTTTTCAACTGCTATTTAGAAACTGTTACTCTGACATTTTTAGGATCATTGGCGAATTTTCATGTAATTTTCTATATTCAATGCAGCTCTACACCGAACATTCACATAAAAACAATCAAAAACAAGATCCGATGTATCTTAATTTGATTCCCTAAATCAAGAATATAATAATGTAGAACAAAGCTCATTACAAATCATACCCGGTCTAACAGTTACGAAGACTATCATAATTATATATTAAAACGTCATATTTACTACACTAAGAAATTCTCAGAGAAGGAATGACTACTATGCAAGTTGCTCCAAAACACTAATTCATGTATTGCGAGACTAACGACGAAAAAAATGCTTAGAAATCGTAATTTTAATATTAAATGTAGAATTTGTGGTTATAATGATTCGATAGAAACATAAGAATAGTACAAGAGTAAACGCTTATGATGCAGTGGTGATGCTCGCATTTGATATTTTAAAAAATGTTCTTCAATAACATCTTTTAATATAACATTTCGTATTTCATCGACTGTATCCTCAAGTTAAGTCCCTGATAGTGAATTATATAAATAATCAAGCTATAGTCATGGTTTTCGTATTACTGAAACAGTATGAAAATGAAATTTTATCAACAAAACGAAGTTTAAAACAATTCAAACATCACAATGTGAACTATATAGTAGATGCGACGGATAAAGCATTGAATGATATCCTTAACAAATAGTATTCACAAATGTATTGAAAAACGCAAGCGGTCGAAATATAAATGTTTCACTTTATATATTCGTATGTCAACGAAGTATATTAACATAGAATGTATTCAAATGCGCAAATGAGATGCTTTGTTAGTTTGACACTTTGAATATCGGATTCTCGCCCTCACTCCACTCTCGCGGTTGAATAGATGATGTGTAGTAGACGTAGTTCTTAGTATAGAATCTAATTGCAAGAGCCACATTAGGAAATATGTTTCGGGCAGTTTATTTATAATCGTAGGATAAGCTACATATGTAAAATAAAATTAAACTCAACGTTGGTAGTAAGCGAAAGTAGTCTATAATGAAATGGTGAACTTTGCATGTTCTTTTGGTGATTACACCATATGATTAAGCAAAATCTTTAGTGATCTATGTGATGACTGAGTTGTAAAATTTGAAGAAAAGTACAGGGACTCGTGCATGTCTCTAAGTCAGCATCCATTGAAAAACGAGATCACTCTAAGTATAAAAAAAAATCAGTACGATTTAAATATGGAATAACTACTTAAAGTTAGAGTGATTGAACAGCTGGAAAAGCTCTTTAGTGAGATAATAATAGATACAAATAATTTGTTCCAGAAATATATGCTTTAGAGACTATTCTTGAAAACAGACAGATTCTAACACATTTCAGTTGTTGTCAAATGTCAGTTTCATTACGATTAACGCGGTACGATACATGGATGTCAAAGGAATGATGAATTTCGACGATATCCATTTGTATTTACTTTTTTAAGCGGAAAAGAATCCGTACGGTTCTGACGACATGCGATAATTAGACTTGATAAGAAACAATGGGTTCTTTTCTGGCGAAGCTTGTTACGTAATTCTGTCATAAAGATTTCTAAGAAATCTGAGTTGAATCTGACTATTTTTTCTATAGAGAGTACTGATATCCAGGACAATTCAATGTTTTTTTCTTCGGATCTACGTGAAGAAATGAGTCAGCTGGTGAGTCGCAACAATCCTGACTAGAAACTCATTATTTCAATAGTTCTCTATCGTTCATTTAACTTCTGAAACTTAACTATTTAAATCATGAGCTGCAGCACTGGATTCAACCATCCGTTGTTCTGTCGTGTTAGCGTCTTTCGAATCTTCTATTTTATCATGCTTTAATGTTATTGTGTCTTGAGAGCATATATTATCATTGGTGAATGCCATGATTGGTACTTCATTTTGTGTATCATTGTTCAATGTTGTACGATGACATGATTCAATATGGATTATTACGTCGTTTTCAAAATTGATACATTTATCTACGACATCGGATTCGACTTGGTTCGTAGATGTGTTCATCTAGAAATGACATAGAAACGTGTTCAATGTCTTTTTTTCTATTTTCTATCGCATGTACAAAAGAACTACCTCTTCTGCAGCAAAAGAATCTCAGTTTCACATAAAACAACGTGCTTAATGACGATGATAAAATGTTTGTTGTTGACTGTTGGACGCAGTACAACAATGAAGAATCATTTCAGCTTCTTATCTCTTCTGTTTTTGCCTTACGTTCTAATGGTATATGTAAAATGATACTTTATCAACATTAAAAAGCGCTGTGGCTTCAGAAGACAAGTATAACTGAAAGATAATTAGTTTGAATCTGCTTTTGAAATGTTTAGATCAATACAAAAGTTTTTTTATCGTTCATACTGAGAGTAGTTAAAAATTAGTGATATTTTTGAAGATAGTACATGCCATTGAAAATTTTAAAAGTTTATCAAAGTAATAAAACAAAAACAAATGACGTAGACTGAATCGATTGTATAACGAAGACCAAATGAACTGTTCAAAACATATGCACCGTATGGAGATTTTACATTGGCTGAACCCATGCGTATATATAATGAATAATTAGTATGACCGATTAACCCTTTAAGTACCAGTGTACTTTATAAAGTACGGTTTTTTCGAGTTTTGTAATTTTTCAATAACTAGCGAATGCAAAAAGGTATCGAGATGCGGTTTGCTCTATGACATAGAAGAGACTTCTGTGGATAAATCTATATAAGAATTATAACCTTAATTGGGTCACTCAGAAAGTAAGTCTGAAGAGTTTTTGGGATACCACCTCTAGGAGAAGGAGGGCAGATAATGCTCTTTCGCGAGCCCCTAAATATTTCGCTTTTCCAAGTTGGAATCAAGTTAGGAGTGCCTCCTTATAATATTCCAAAGGTTGATTTTGCGATAGCTCTCAGTCGAGCTTTGACCACGGCCGTACCACCCTACGGGGATGAGTCGAAAATGACTTTAAAGATTTTTTAAAAGTTTTGATGAACATATTCACAATACACACTGGGAATGTTAAATATAAAATCTCAAAGAAATTTCATTCATTCGCTGAGTCATGGTACATAAAGGGTTAATATGAATCAACTTAAAAGAAACAGGTCCATTATATTGCTGTATCAATGTAATAACAATTATTAAAACTAAATGGACAATACATATAAATAAAATAAAAATATAAAAATCAACTCATTCAATTATTTAAAATGTGCTTATACATTATATTAATATATTAGAATTTATTGAATCTGTATTCAGTTTCTCNTACTATTTTAACCTTGTTAGTTTGGCGGTGAGAGCTTTCATTTGACCCGAATATGTGCCATCGTTTTAAGTTACAGTACAAACACCTCCATTGTAAGATTTTTATCGCAGGACAGCAAACTGGCCGGAACAGTGGATAAAAGATTTTTGACTTAAATATTCAATGTTTAAAATCTGATTAGATTTCAGTAACGATTAGAAAAATACGGGCGCTGTTGAACGTTGAATATTTTAGAAGGGTATTAATCGTTTGTATTCAAAATTTTCGGATGTTTTTAAAACGATGAAACTTGATTATACGTAAATGAAATTTCAAGTAACAAGTCTTTTGTTTTATTTTTCTGCGAATTCGTTACGCTACGATAAAAATTCAACTCAACTCTATAGAGAAGGCTAATGGATCAAAATTCTTTTTTTAATTTGTTCTAGTCTACAATTCTTGATATATATGCATAATATGAGTTCAATTTCAAGAGTCACTTAATTGAAATAAAAAAAACGAACTACACTTTATCTAAGAAAGTAAAAATTTAAAATATTCGTAATTTTTTTATGATATGATCATCTATTTCTCTCGTTGACTAACATATTCAGATTTTATATGATTGTTTAAAATAGTTTTTTTTATCTTCAAAACCACTATTTTGATGGTACAAAAAAAAAGAAATTTATTTAAATTTTCTACTTATGAAAACTTGTTTTCCTGCAAACTTAGAAAAATATGTTTTTAGTAATTTGACTTCACATATTAGGAAACAAAATCTACCATAAGTATTATTATTTTACTCAGACTTTTACAGGTATATTAAAAGACTTGAGTGTGAGTGATTGTTTATATATGATTTCGTAATTAGTGAAACTTTTATTTTTGAAAGATCTTTATGAAAAGAAAAGAACGAATGTGAACTATGCGATATAGAAACTACTAGAGAGTAAGTGTTCGCTTTAATGTAAGTAAAATGCAAATAACATATTCACGAAAATACATCCGACTTTACAAATCAACTTTTTCTGTCACACAAGAGATACATTAAGATCAACACGACATACTAATGATTAGTAAATAATTGTGCTAAATCATTCTCAAAAATTGAAAACACCTTATATTAGAAGTTCGAAGGCTTCTGTTATTTCCAAATAATTTCAGTTTATCAAACAAAGTTCCGTACATGCTCCTGATTTTATAATTACTATTATTTTTAAAGTTAAACTGGAAGTTTCATCTGAATAAATTTTAATATTATTTTAATCTATAATTCTTTATTTATTAATAGGTATTACATGAAAAATATGTTTGTCACATTGTTCATCAAGCACGTGCTATACTTAAAACTTTACCAAACTATAATCGTATTGATTTATCTACTTTACATCATATATACATTATTGGTGATCTTCATGGACAATTAGCTGATTTATTACATATATTTAATGCAGTAAACTAAATATTCATAAGAATTTTTCTTTTTATTCTTCATTTGAATTATCTATAGAATGGTCTACCTGCCATTGATAATCCTTATATATTTAATGGAGATTTTGTTGATCGAGGTCGAAATTCAGTTGAAGTTATTCTCTTACTTATGATTGCATTGATTCTCTATCCAAGTTCAGTCTTTCTTAATCGAGGTAATTGTTTTCTATTCATTATAAATTTTTTTTTTATTTAATGTTTTTTTTTTCCTTCATAAAATGAAAAAGGTAACCATGAAGATATAATGGTTGCAGCTCAATATGGTTTTCAAGATGAAGTTAATCGAAAATATCGGGTTAGATCATAATTTATCAAAGATATTGATCTATCAAATGTTTATTTAGACATGTAAAACACCATTACTTGATCTATTTAAAGATATATTTAGTTGGTTACCACTGTATTCATCTGTTCATACAGGAAAATCTAAACTTATTATAATACATGGAGGAATATCTGATTGTATTAATCTAGAAAAAATCAACTCTCTTCAAAGAAATCGATGTAAGAAAAGACATTGATCTATATATATATTTTTTAAGAATGTCGACAGTTCGGAGTTTCAGCGAATTAACTTTTTTGGCGATTCTTTTTGTTACAGTTCGATAGAGTTCATCGATTTATGTATAAAATTTTGTTTTTTGTTTGACATATTCAAACAATATTTTAGAAAAATCAGGTTTCAAAGCAATCAGAAAAGACTATAAATATTGAAATACATCAAAAGCATTAAATCTTAGTAATCTCAATATTCATTCAAATTAATTTTTTTTCTTTTGATTTTACTTGTCATATGGTTAGAAAAAAAAGGATGCATAGTTTTTGAAAAATATTGTTTCATTGTTGAGAAAATCAATTTTTTTTTTTTGGGATACAATAGCAAAACGTTATAAATATTAGTTTTATCTTCTAAGGTTGTGACTATCAGAACTTGAGTTCCGAAATAAATAAATATCATATTTAGAATCAACATAAAAATATGCATCGAATAGTAAAAACAATATTCAAAATTAATTTTCATCAAATTTCGACTTTTAAAATAAGAACAAATCAGAGGATCCGAAAATTATACTGACGAGTTGTAGCAAACGAAATTTGATGAAAATTAGTTTTAAGTATGAATTATGCTATTTTAATGTAGTTTTTTTGCGCTGATTCTGAATATGATATTTTTTTTTAATTGGAATTGAAATATAGATGATCAGAAACTGACAATAAAAATCGATATTTATGGCGTTTTATCATCATGTTGCAACAATCGAACAACAAGTAGCACTCATCAAAAGATTCGCTCACTTTTTTTTTTCAAAAGAAAGTTCGCTTTTGATCGATCGAATGCATAATCCATTTACTTGGACATCCGAATAGATAAACAGTTCTAATCGAAGCTTAGAATATGTCTAGTATTAAGAATTATTGAAGTGCTAGTAATTCTTTATGCTAGTTATGATTAGTTTTGAGCACTCTTTTCGAATCTTTTCTTTAATTTTGTCTAAGGCAAAACAAAGATATCAAAATCAGCCGAAAAGAAAAGCTAAAAAATGTTAATAGAAATTGATTATGGTTGATATAAACGTTCCGTAAGAACTATATTCTTAATGAGAGAATAAAAACTGTCATCTTAAACATCAGCAACATTTTTTAGTAATAACTCAACGAGTTTTATCCAAGCATGAAGAAAAATAAATGTGAAAACCTCGGATTTAAATCCGAGTGTTATGTGTACTTCAAAAAGTGAACAGGTATATTCACTTTGTTTTTTATCATCTGAGACATATCTAGGCAATTTACTTTCTGGATGCAGTTTTTGTGCATTTTGAGACCTTTTTCAGGCAATGTTTTGTTAGAAAACTACGATTTGGTTCAAAACTAATATCATATTCGGAATCAGCGTTAAAAACTNTTCTCTGTTCCCTCACACCCACATCCTTTCGATAGTTGTCTACAGTCTTCGTTAGATAGACGTTACGGTAATGGTAAAAAACTCTTGTTCTTAATATGGAAATATTTTAATAAACTGAATGTAAATGTTTTTGTTTGTTTGTTTGTTTATTTCTGCATCTTAAGCATTTTTTGATACTGTAAAACATACAGTATTTGATTAGCTTTTTTTTACAGTCCCATTGCGATCTAGTATGATTTCCATAAGATTTCGTTGAGATTGTAGTCACATTGTAAACTACGTAATGTAGAAATGAACCATCTACGTATCTCAACCGTAGTTAACTATGATCCCAGTTTACTGTGTTTTTTGCAAAATATTTAGCGCTCCTTTTTTTTTTGAAACCACATACACTTGTATCAACTATGAGATGTATTTCAGAAAATGCAAGAATTTCTGATATTGATTCAAAATGCATGACGAAACAACTTTGACATCTGCAAAATTGGTGATCCTTTTGCAACTTCCAGTCATTTGAGTAATGAATGAAGCTATCATACTGTCGACGAATAAAAAAAATGATAAATATCTTTGTAAAGAGTGTCTTTATAATCGAAACATCGCTTGTGAATTCTAGAAAAAGCAATTACTTGAGTCAAAAATTACAAGAATATATCAGATTCATGAGATATAGGATGTGAGTGTAAGGTAAATATGAATCAAGAAATCATCAGATTATTAACTGAAAGGGGTACTTTCACCAGAGATGGACATCTCTATGACAATTAGTTACATTAAGGCTTCTACATTGTCTAAGTGACTTATGCGATGCAAATTACCTGCTGTAACTGGTAGAGAATACAAATTTTTGATCGAAGAAAGTTGTACAATTTACAAGAAAAATTTTAACTTCTTAAAACGTTTGATTCCATCTTTTGTGTATATGCACGTTCCAGTGAGACTAAGAAAATCTTAAAAGTGCTTCTATCCATGTTCTATTGATCAAGAGTTATGATCAATTTACTAAATTTTCGGTCTAAAATTTTGTCTAAGGGTAGATTTAATGACGATTAGAATACTCGGAAAGTTTTAGCCAAAAGAAATGTTCTCCTCTCAACATATTGGATTTGAAAGAACTAGTTGCTTGTTACAAGTATCAATTTTATATGAATATGTAATATTTTGAGAAGAGAACATTCGTTTTGGATGAAAATTCCAAGGTATTCTAATAGTTATTAGATCTATCTTTAGGCAAAGTTTCAAAGTGGAACCATATACTTTCACTTGTCAGCGAATATCTACAGATGAGCTAAAAATTTATTAAATCGATCATAACTCTTGATCAGTAGGGCATAGGCACGAATTTCTTCAAAATTTACTTCGTCTCACTGGAACCTGCTTGTTGCCGAAAGATGGAATCAAGAATTTTTAAACGGTTGCGTATTCATTTGTTAGTCGAATTTCTGTGATTTATAGAAACACATACTATACGAGCGCTATGTACATACAGAATGTTCTCTTCCATGCAAACAACGATGATTAGGTGTCTTTCTGAACTATTTTTATTTCACTTTTTCCCCTGCAATCGTTCTACAAAGGGTTATTTTAACAACCAATGAAGACAAAAAGATGAATAATTGAAAATCAAAATAACATTTTTAATCGTCATAGATTAGAAATATATTGACAAAATCATTGGTCATTCGGATGAAAATACTCATTGCTACTTTCACAATTGGTTGTAAGTGTACAATCGTACTCACATTGTTATTATACATTGATTAACAACATATTTTCAGTTTACAGCCATACGAATGAGTGATTTTTGTTTTTTATCTGCTTTATTTAGGTTTTTTCTTTCAACTGAGAAGAAAGGGAAAAAACGCAATTTCACCATTTCTTCTTCCTTTACATTAAAAAATATCATACTGTATGTTAGTATTTTGTGTGTTCGGTCAATGATGAGTTTGCCATTTAAATCATAAAATACAAAAGCTACTGCTACCAAGCGAATTATACGGTGTGCAGATAAATGAAAGAACATGTTGATGAGAACAATGCTTATTTTCATATTAAAAACTTCTTTTTTCAGAGATTTGAGAGATCTGGATAAACATCCAATAGCAGGACTTGCTGTCAGCTGTCCAGATGCAGTGCACTTGATAAATGTTTCTTTTTCATTCAGTTTTTTTTTGCTGTTAGAAATGGGCATGCCTTGTGCAATGACTTATTGACCAACTATGCCGAACATTTTCGAGCACTCGATCATGATAGTGCCAAACAAGCTAGTGGATGGAGATAATTAAATAGGATGGCGTTGACTAGAGCTTTAAACTGGAATTTTGTTCAGCAAACATTGATAATATCAATAGAGATAAATACATTTTGATTCGAATTCTCGAAATATTCAGATAACTGTAACATGTATCAATGCACTAAATTTTATCTAAAATTTTGATCATGTGAATATTTTGATAATGCTTTGCATTGAGAAGAAAAATCGTAAAAAGAATTGAAGAGGAATTCAGAAGTTTAAGACAAAAGAGAGCTTCTTAGTATTATCATATGATGCATATATTGCAGAAATACAAAAATCAGGAGAAGACAAATTAGATTTTTATGAACATTTGAAATTTCGTTCAGTAACAAGACGAGATTATAATCATTGGTTATTAATATATATATAAATGAAAATCATTTTTAAAAAGGAAAAAATAATTATTCATAATAGTATAACTGTCATTTATCATGGAACTGCTCAAGATAATGCAAAATATGATTTTACTCTATCTATGGCATTGAGTGTATTGACAGCGTTAATGAATAAATCCGCTGTACAATTATTCAATGGTCAAATGTTTGAATCAAAACATGCAATAGAAGCTTATTGTCATTTTCTATGTTTATTAATGCATTTCATTGATATTTATCCTGATTTAGGTATGTTAGCATACAAATTGATATTTTACTATCTAAAACTATATTATTCTAGATCGAAAAATCAATAATAGAATAGAAGATTTTACAAAACGTTTATGTTATTGTAATAAAAGTGTCATACCAGATGTTGGCAAATTTTTAATACAAATTGTATTGTCAAGTAAATATAAATTCGTTGAAATTGGTAAATATATTTATGAAGAATATCTGGCTTGACAAATTTATTGAATTCAACGAAATAATTCGATTGAAAACTTATTAGATATACAACCTACTGACTTACCTCATATATTCCAAGCTACAAAAGTATCAAATCATCTATTAATATTCGATTTAGAAATTGCTCAAACCTTTATCTTTTCTGAAGTAAGTGATTTTGTTGAAATCATCAAACTGAATGATAAGATCAAATCATCATAAAATATGATTGATTTTATAAAACATTCGGTTCATATATCTAATGAGCAAGGTTATACACGGATAATTTCTAGAGCTCAAGAATGATATGCACATCCAAATAAACGAACACGATATGATTATCAACGAGGATATTTTATCGAGAAGACAGACGATAATCATGGATGTTTTGTTGAATAAAGTTTTCTTTTTTGCTAATAAAGAAGAGTTGATGGCTTGTTTGTATTCATGATGTTTGTTTATAAAGCTGTGCGATGGAACAAAGAAATCAAATTCACTTGAAAGAAAATTTAAACTTCGTAAAACAATTTTCGAAATGCTTTAGCGAACATATAGAGTATGCATTTATATAACTTACATAATGTTGAAAAATGTAAAAAATTATTTAGCTTTCACCATTCTTAAATTTTTTCAAAATATATAGTAGTTTCCGTCATGTTGATCGAGTAAATAGTACATTAATTTCAAGTTTGAAGATGTCTTAAAACAAGTCCCTCTTCATAAAAATGATCGAAATTGAAATAAATTCGAAAAGGAATAGCCCTTGATACATCTTTTTTTAATACGCATTTTGATTACCGTAATAGGGAATATCTCGGTAGAAACAACGCCATTTTCTTAGTGATTTTCAGAGTAATTAAACTTGCCATCTGTTAAAAACAAATGATAAAATGACTTAAATGTAGGACTACAAAAAAGCTTCAAGATCCTATCAAATTACTTTCGACACTTTGAAAACTTTACCATAGTAATGACTTACTAATCTCAACATATCCTGAAAGTTTTATGCGATTAAAATGTTCCTGACTTGAAATAGATTTTTCAGCGAGAAATGGCCTTAAAGGAAGAGGAATGATAGGACAATGTCATTTTCTTATGATACCTATTTATCAATTTAATATTATAATCCTATAACAAAAGTTGATGAGCATTAACAAACAATAAAATTATATTTTACATTAAAACACTTGAATATCAATATATTGAAAGTATTCATCATAGATAGATATGTATATAATTACTAATTTTTTCTTTCAATATACTGTAAAAATAGTCGAATCACAACCAGTCACTAAAAATGATATTTATTTAGAGTACTTAAGGATGATCAAGATTTGGACACATATTTCAACAAGTTCTTTGATTAGGAAGCCTCAAGAACGTTATCTCTATATATTCTTCTATGATTTGATATTCGCTTCAACAAAGTTTACAATGATGAAAATGCACGAAAATTTATATATTTCTATGCATTGGACAAAAATTACCATGCGCATAAAGGTAAAAAATGGATAAGAGAAGAAAAGAGAGAAAGGACTAATATTACAGACGAATAAAATAGCATCAGTAACTTGACATATTTTTACTGTTTATTTTATTTACGGTGAAAAACAAAACACGTTGTGTGCATAAACACATTCAAAGTTAGAAAATTTCGTCCCTACCTTTCAATTACATATTAGCTAATCGATGAGCATATTCAAAAATGATCCCTTACACGAATGAAGTATGCATTCTTTGAAGTTGATTCATATGAAGAGAAGAAAATATTAATTTCTTCTTTTTTTATTTCTTTATCTTATTCTACAACATATCTTGTTTAACTTTTGTCTATTAAATACATATGCTTTGAAAAAATTATTATTTGCTGTTTACTTAAATATGCTATTATTATAAATTTGATGATGAAATATTTCAGAAAACGGCTAAGATTGTTTTCTTTTCCTTGACAGATGTATCACAAAATGAACGATCATTTATATTCTATCCTATCAATTATTCTTCTGTCCATTTTTTCCTGAGCGAAACTAGTTGGTCAGCAATACAAAAGAATATTTTATGCTCTAAATATCCACATGTTTTTTCTTGTTTTGTAAACATTTTATCATACATTTTTTTTTGATTATTTCAAGATTTAAAATCTATTATTTGTAAGTTACTATTCATAACAACATGTTCTATTATATTGAATAGTTCATTGAAAAGAGTATGGCGAGAATTGTCAACAAAGAGGATATTACTTTAATCTATTTCGACTCAAAGATTGATATCAATAATGATGTAGAACGAATAACAGCACAACTACGTCAAATCAATGATTATGTTATAATCCATACTGAACTCGATTCTTGCATGGCTTTCATTCAATCAATTTATAATGAGAGAATCTTTTTCGTTTTATCGATACATGATATATCTCGAGTATTATCTCATATTGCAACATTATCTCAAATTGAGAGCATCTTTATTTTCAACTGGGATGAAATAAATGATGAACATTTAGTTGTTGAAAACTCAAAACTTATCGGTGTATATGATAAATTCGATGCGCTGTATTTATCGATTCAAAAACAAGTCGAATTCTTTGATGAACATTTCGAAACATTTAGTTTCTTCGATCTAAATGAAAACTTGATAAAAGATTTATCAAAACAAACAGCTGATCTACTTTGGTTTCAACTTTATCATGATATTCTCTTACAATTAACATATGATAAAGAAGCTAAACAAGAACTAATTGATGCATGTCGTACCTATTATCAAGGTAATATCAAACAAATGAAAATGATTAACAAGTTTGAAAATGAATATCGATCAAACGAAGCACTTCAATGGTATTTGAAAAATATATTCCTTTACAAAATGATCAAAAAAGCATTACGAATAAAAGATTTCGATCAACTTTATACATTACGATATTTTATGAAAGATCTCACTGAATGTTTCATGCAAAAACATCAATAACTGATTCAATCTGATAAAGAAATATTATTTATGTATCGAGGAATGAAATTAACAAATGATCAAATTGAAAAATTTTAAATGAACGAAGATAAAATAGTTTCAATCAATGGATTCTTGACAACAAACAGTAATCGTTTAACTGCATTGAGCCAAGCCATCTCAAGCCTTCGAAACACACTGATCTTATTTCAGTTCTATTAGAAATTCAATGCGATCTGCAATATTTAAAAGACAATATCATTATTGCTGCTAGCATACATTTCAGTGAATGTTATTGTGAAGAATTACAAGAAATTATGTTCGATTCAAATGTCACTTTTCGATTGAAGAGTGTAAAAATGGAAAAAAAACATGTATTTGATTAAAATGAATGTATCGAATGAAGGCAAAATTATCAAAGAAAAATAAATTAAAGATTCACATCGTCAAATGGAGGATCTGAGTATCAGAATTCTTTTCGGGCGATTGATGTGTGATACAGGTCAATGGAATCAATCACAACATTTCTTTCAATACTTATTGAATAATTCAATTAGCTACAATGAAGATCTTGCAAAAATTGAATATAGTCTTGGTGGAGTTCTTCAATGTAAAGGAGAATGGAATGAAGCACGAAAATATTACGAACATGCTTTTGAATGATTGATAAATATAAGACCAATTCGAATTAAAGATCTAGCTGATATTCTTTTCAATCTTGGTGAAATTCTTTATGAAGAAGGAAAATATGACGAAGCTCTTGATTATTATGCAGAAGCATTTACGATAAGAAAGCAATATTATTACGTGACGAAAGCTAATAGATCTTGTCTATCAAATCATCAAAAAATGTAGTTTGTTAAGTCGTATTCGTCTATCGTTGTGGTCGATTGTATTGAATTTAGGTGGATTCTTTCAATCAAATTCTCAAGAGTCTTGGATTAGATATTTCGCAAGAATTCTTTGTTGGTTTTGTTCGAAATATCTAACAAACAGAATCGAGCTAATTGACGTGCAATTGAGTAAAACTCAGTTACAAGAAACACATCGAAACTTACAGAAAACTATTAGTTGGTTACAATTTAATAAAATTCGTTTGAATGGTTATGTACCTATTGCTAATAGTCTCTGTAGCTTCGATAAAATCTTCCTTCGGCAAATCAAGTGTGATGAAGCACTCATCTTTCATCAACGAGCATTAACAATACTCGAAGAATATTATCAGTTTCCACATATCGATATTGCTCTTAATCTTGAATATCTAGTTCAGGTTCTTGTCGAACAAAAGAATTACAATGAAGCCTTTAATTTCTTGCAACAAGCAATGTCATTCTATAAGAAATACTATCCAAATGATCATGTTAAAATTGCTGCTAGTCTGTATGGAATAGGAATTGTTTACTTTGGACAAGGAAAATATGATAAAGCTTTGTCAGTTTGTGAACAAGTTTTGAAAATTTTTCAGAAACATTATTTTTCCGGTCACGACATGATTGTTAATGTTCTAAAGACTATTGGCTGTATGCAAAAAGGAAAAGAAAATTACAATAAAGCTCTTGATTTATATCGGTTGGCATTAACAATGCAAGAGAACTATTATCCATCTTATTATGCCGACATTGCTAATACTCTTAATTACATCTTTGACGTACTAATTTGTCAATCAAAATATAATGAAGCTTTGTATTATTGTCAACGAGCACTAGAAATGCAAGAGAGCTATTATCCTTCAGGGAATGCTTCAATAGCTTTGAGTCTTAACAATATTGGCGTGATCTTACGTAAGCAAGGAAAATATACTGAAGCTATTGATTGTTTTCGACGATCACTAACAACTGTCGAAAAATACACTTCATTTGATCATTATTCCATTGCTGGTTTTATGAATAATATTGGAAGTACATTATGTTATCAAGCAAAATACAATGAAGCTCTTGATTATCATCGACGAGCACTGGAGATTCAAGAGAAATATTGTTCATCATGTCAACAAGAGATTGCTAACACTCTCAACTACATAGGTAATATGTTCATTGAACAAAAGAACTATGATGAAACCTTGAAGTATTGTTAACGCGCTCTCGAAATGCAACAGAAATATTATCCAAATAGTCACGTAAACATTACATCAACTCTCATTAATATTGGTATAGTATTTCTTAAACAAAACAAATTTGATAAAGCAATGGAATACCATGAAAAAGCATTAGAAATTCAAGAGAAATATTATTCAACAAACAGTATGATCCTAGCTGATACCATCAATCGTATCGGTCATGTTCTATACAATGAAAAGAAGTATGATGCAGCGATTCACTATTACTACCGGGTACTTTCAATGCAAAAACGTTTCTGTCCTAATAGTTACATTCAAATTTCATATACTCTTACCTTTATTGGTAACATTTTGTATGAGCAAGGAGAGTATGATGATGCTCTTCAGTATTATCGAAAATCCTTGTTTATTCAAGAAAAATATCATGAATTTTGTCATGTTGACATTGCTGAAAACTTGAATTTTATTGGTCTTGTTCAGTGTAGCCAAAAGAATTATGATGAAGCTATTCATTACTTTCAACGGTCATTAGCTATTCAAAATGAATTCCGTCCATTTAGTTATGATAATATTGCAACCATTCTTAGCAATATTGGTAATGCTCTGTATTATCAACGAAAATATGATAAAGCTCTTGATTTTTATCAACGAGCGCATAAATTACGAGAAAATTTTGATGCAACTAATCATGTTCACATTTTAAATAGCCTTATAAGCATTGCCAATATTCGAAGAGATCAAAAACAGTACGATGATGCTATCAAATTCCAACAACAAGCATTAATCATACAAAAAGAACATTATCCTTTTGATCATGTGAACATTGCTGCCATTCTGAATAAACAAAGAAAATATAATGAAGCTCTTGACTTCTATCAACAAGCACAGGAAATTCACGAAAAATGCTGTCCATTAAATCTTATTGATGTAGCTAATGGTTTGATCAATATTGGTGATATCCTGAATAAACAAGAAAAATACGAACAAGCTCTTGGGTTTCAACAAAAAGCATTAATAATTCGAGAAGAAAAATATTCATGTTGTCATGAAAAAGTTGCAAATAGTTTGAATCGCATTGGTGATATTCGATTTTATCAAAAAGAATATAATCTTGCACTCGATTACTATCAACGAGCTCTCGTTATCCTCGAAAACTATTATCCATCTGGTCATATCGATATTGCACCATGTTTAAGATCTATTGGAATGATCTTATGTATACAAAGAAAATATGATGAAGCACTTGATTTTCATCGACGAGCACTGAAAATCTATGAACGGTATTATCCATCCGATCATGAGGAACTTGCTGCTTCTTTAGATTGTACCGGTTTTATATTGAATAATCAAGAAAAATACGATGAAGCTCTTGATTTTTATTTTCTAGCACTAGCATCTTACAGGAAACATTCATTCAATTATTCGAATATTACTATTTGTCTAGAGCAGATTGCTCAAATTTTTAAAACTCTAAGAAAATATAATGAAGCTGTCGGCATTCAACAAAAATTATTGACATTCCTTCTGAACAAATCGTCTTGTGACCAATTTAGAATTGCTAGAACTCTTAAGGATATCGGTGGTACTCTGTTCGAACTAATAAAATATGAGGAATCTCTTCACTTTTTTCAACAAGCATTGATCATATTCGAAAAATATTATCCCAATGATCATAAACAAATTGCTGATTGCTTTTACTGGATGGGTGTTAACTTCAATAGAATTTTCAAGTTTGATCTTGCCATTGAATATTTAGAAAAAAGTTTGTTACTCAAGGAAGCCAATCTATCTTCAACAGATCTTTCTATTGGTAACTTATTTTTATGTTTTTCACAGATACTAAAAAACCAAGGCCATTATGAGCTCTCACTTATATATGAACAAAATCTTCTCTTAATGCGTATCAAGCTGCTATTATCCTATCATGAAGATATTGGCCATAGTTTATCGAACATTGGAATGATTTACGAAAACCTTCATAAACCAATGTTGGCACTTGATTACTATCAACAAGCGTTGGCTATCTACAGAAAAAGTTTGCCTCCCGATCATGATGACATACGGACGATGAAATCGAATATTGAACGACTTTCCGAATAATTCGAAATAGAACTCAATGAATCAAATTGACTTTTCAATTAAATAACATTATTACTAGAGTAAAATGTTGACAGAATAGAGTCAAGAACATTATCGACCAGATTAGAAGACTAGTTTTTCATCACAAAACACATTAAAATGATTATAACTTACAGTGTGGGTGTGGGTGGGGTGCGACGGTGGCTGTGGCTGTGGGTGCTGGCAGGCAAGAGACACTCACATCCACATCCAAACACCCACACCCTCAGTTTTTTTATTCTGAAATTGTAAACAAAAAAAAAAGAAAAAGAATGAAAATAAGTAATATGAGTAGAGAACAAATTATTCGCATTTTGTATAATCTGTTAGACATTTCAATAAGTTCAATCTTGAAGTCTTTTAAATTTTTCAAACTATAGATTTTCTTACAGATGACATCAAAGAGATATTGAAGTATAAAATAGAAGTTACAATTTCTTCCTTTTGTTTCGGAAGATTGCAGATCAATAAGTAAAACTAATTGTATCATCTTTCTCATCTGAAATCTAGTTGAAACTAAAATAGCAACTATTAATATATGTTGAAATGTCATGAAATGTTGTATAATCTTGAAGTTTACTGTTTGATCTATAAGTATATGAAGAAATCAAAATCAGTTTTAATTTTTCAAAAATATGTTTTGTGTGGAAAAGCAGAAGGCTAATTTCTTAGTACTCAGAATATCTAAATATGTTTTCGTTTAGACAATACAATAGAAAGAAAATGCAATACTTTCTTTAAAAAAAAGATAAAACATCAGAAATCTTCGAACTTTTTAGGACATGTTTTGGAAAGATACCGTTTTGTTTCTATGATAGATGGTTTAGAAAAGCTAAATTTTTGATTTTCTAAAAGTTTAATAGCAAAAAACTTATTAGTGGTTGTTTAATTTCTTATATTTTTCTTTTTTTTATTGTATATAATATTTTCTAGTGATATAAGTTTGAGAAAAGTTTAAAAATATGTTTTATTGAACAAATATAACAATGACAATATATTAAGACTCATAGGATATTCTATGACTGTTAAAATATATTTAATCATGATATATACATATATCTTATTATTATTAGAAATTATTACTATTTCTTTATTCATAGAAAAATTTGATGATCAAAAAAAAAAACTCTTTGTCTAGTATAATATTTATTTTATTTCGATACAATCTATATAAATAGAAATTTCATTGTATAGTTCATTATTAAATGATTTATGGTTATAAAATTTATTCTTTGTTTTTTTTCTCTAATATAATAGATTAAAATCAGATTGTATTTGTTTATTTTAACATGTAGTTAGAGTTAATGAATATTAATCATTGGAAATATCAACATAATACAATTGAAATCTAGAAATTATTTATAATATTTTGATTGGTAATTTGATCAAGTGAAACATAATTAAGTTAATAAATATTATAGAACTACAGTATTCATTTGTTTTTATTGATCTATAGAACAAATATAGGATAGATATGAATTTAAGAATTAGAAATTATCCATTTGACAAATTAATATATGTCTTATTAAGATATTGGTTTTAGAAAAAAAATCTCATGACGTTGACATTGAAATAAATATAACGTTCAATATTTGAAAGATATTCCTCGTTTTTACTAATTATCATCAATATTTATGAAATTTTCATTAGAAAAAAATGTTCCAATTATATTTCTTTGTGATCTAAGTATGTTGCTTGAATTATATTAGTAATTAATTTCAATTTTTGATACACAATATAAATTAAAAGAAATTTAACCGCAAAAAGAAGAAAAAGGTGATCGAGTATCGATTTATTCTCAGGCTTGCGAAACCGAAGTCTCGCGTCCACATGCTTCAGGCTCAAGAGGAAATTGTAGTTTTGGTTAAACCCGAGAATGCGGCTCGATCGTTTACTTTTCTTATTTCAGACTATATTATTTTGTTCTA